GCAGGCTGTACGGAGAAGAAAAATAAAAAGAAAAGGTTGTCCACTACCAGACTTTGTCGTGTGTCCTTCCTGCCGGCCGGGAGCGGACATCGACATTTGGTGGCCCGTACGGGGACTGATCACCCCCGAGACGTGGAAGTGGACAACGCTCCAGTACAGAGCTGCGAGACAGGTGAGTTGGGGATAAGCCTGGGCTCTGGGTGGCGCGCACCTACAGGGCTTTTAGACTCCCCTCAGGCTCACGCGTAAGTGGCGGATTCCTTGGGCCTCACGCGGTGAGTAACATATTAAAAGATGGGAAACATGTTAGGTAGCAACACTAAGAGCGAGGGTGGTTGTGGAGAAAGCTCTCAAGAGCTTACAAAAGTACGCAGGGTATCTGAGCAGGCCCAGTCAGAGAGCTCCCGAGAGGGGTCCGTCAAGGGGAACAAGGATGCTAAGGAGGAGGACGGGGCTCTAGCCTCGGAGTCGTCTGACTCCGAGGACGAGGAAAAGTTAAATGGCAAGGAGGCCAAAGAGACCAGCTGTCAGGAGCCTAAGTCGCTCAATAAAGAGTCGCAGGGTTCTTTTCCAGCGTTGCCCCGCGAATTGCGCTCTGCTCAACCTGGTCTGCAGAGGAGTAGAGAGCTCCTGAGCGCTCCCCGGCGCGAGAGGGAGGCGATTCCTCGCCACGAGGCGGCCGCCTGGGAGCTCCCTCCCCTTTCGCCAGAACAGGAAGTGATGCATGGGCCCCCATTTTCCGCCCAATCACGGCCGCTGTCTTATGCTCCGCCGCCGGCGGGTCGGTATTTTTACAGGCGGCTTTGGCAGGGGGGACGCTTGTCTCATGAGGTACATCCACCTGGGATAGATAGTGGCCCCTACGGGATATTTCCTGTACAAGTAGCTATGGGCCAGGGACGCAATGTATGGGAGCCTTTTGAGATAAAACAGATTAGAGAACTTAAAAATGCAGTTACAACCTTTGGGCCGACTGCGCCTTACACCATTGCCATGCTGGAGAATCTGTCTTCTGGGCCCCTCACCCCCGCGGACTGGATTCAGCTGGCAAAGGCGTGTCTGCCCTCGGGCAGTTACCTGGATTGGCGAGCCTGGTACACAGAGTTCTCTACAGAGCAGGCTGAGAGAAACGCCAATCGGGGAAACCGGGGGTGGAACAAGGAAATGCTTATGGAAAAAGGTCGACACGCTGATGACCAGACCCAGTTCCCCGGCGCTGTCTATAAACAAATCAATGCCATAGGGCTCCGCGCCTGAAAACAGGTAAGTGGTGCCGGAACAGCCTCCTTGTGTCTTTCAAAAATAATTCAGGGTACCACAGAGCCATTTGTTGACTTTGTGGCCCGAATACAAGATGCTGCCGATAAGATATTTTCTGATCCGGGAGTGGCTCAACCGCTGATAAGACAGCTGATTTTTGAGCAATGTACAAAGGAGTGCAAGGCAGCGATAGCTCCTCATAAAAACAAAGGGCTGGGGATTTAGCTTAGCGGCATAAGCGCCTGCCTTGTAAGCAGGCAATCGCCAGTTCGATCCCTGGTACCAATAAAAAAAAAAAAAAAAAAAAAAACGAAAAAGATAAAAATAAAAAATAAAAAATAAAAAACAAAAAGGGGGAGTAAGCCAAGGCCTGCCTCCAAAGGCACGATTATCCATGGCACTATTCACACACAATTTTTTAAATTTAAATAATGATAATCGCTCCCCAGCTGTGGAGCACTGCAACCCTTCCCCCAACCATAAAGGGTGGGTAAAGTGGAAAGATGTCCTGACAGGACAATGGATGGGCCCGGATCCGGTAATCAGCTGGAACCGAGGCGCGGTTTGTGTTTTCCCACAGGAACCGGGACGAGAACCACTGTGGATACCGGAGAGACTGACACGGGCAACAAAGCCCTCGACTGAAGATCAGACCTGCCCTACTGGAGATCCATCACAGACCAACCAATAAGATGAATAGAAATAGCGGTAGCCCGAAATAGACAAGAAGATCCTCAGGCATATGCATGGCTTGCTCAATTGGCCCACGACCGAGTCTAGATATGGCGGGCATCCCTCATTCTCCTCCATAAGGTGACAATACACAGCAGGGTAGGTGAGTCAATGACGGGTAAGAGCGTGCCTCCCCAGCACGACTCAACCTAAGCCAGGCCCTACCCCATCCTGCACGTAAGCCGCTGGACTGTTAGATGCTGCCTAGGTCTAAATTTCTCTCCGAGGGGATTTCTTTACGGAGAGGAAATGAGTGCAAGCTTGTGTACATCCAGGTTCCGTCCAGTTTGTGCCTGGCCCTAGAAAAAGGACGAGGGCCTCAGGGCCTTGGCGGACCATGGGACGGCCGACCAGGGTCTAAGCCAAGGACCTACGGTGGGCCTACGCATAGGGCATAAGCCTCTGCACCCAGTCCAGAAAGGGCTACGATGCGCACATTCATAAAAAATAAAAAAGGGGGAGATGTTGGGAGCCACAGCCCCGAGCCCGGTCGCCTCACTTGGCGGACGTGAGGCCTGTAGTAAAGAGTGAAGCCTGAGGTAGATTGCCCCTCCCATCGAGCACGTTAGTTTCCTGCTTACCGCGTAAGCAACCCGCTCAACAATATAGTCTGCCTGGCAACTGATGATGTTAGCCAATCAGCTTGCCTTGCTCACTTTAACATGATTAGACACTGTATCCGTATATATACTGGTGCCACCCCTGGGGGGGAAGAAGAAGCCCGGAAGTAGAAGCCCAGAAGGAGCCGCGGGGAGCGGACCAGAGGAGGCTTCGGCTGGGAGCGATCCCAGGGCAGGCTGTACGGAGAAGAAAAATAAAAAGAAAAGGTTGTCCACTACCAGACTTTGTCGTGTGTCCTTCCTGCCGGCCGGGAGCGGACATCGACATTTAGTGCTTTTGATGTCCTTTCTTTGCAGTGACTTTGTCCCTGTACCTAACAAGTTTTCAGAGTTTGTTCTACTCTGGGGCCAGGGAGTACTTAGGCACTTTTGGATTTAGGTGTGTTAGTTTTATGTGGATCATTAACTCTATTTGGGTTTTTCCACAAGCCTGCAAAAGAGATTGCTCAACTCATTTTTGAGGTACTTATTTGCATTCATTTATCTATTTGATGAAATTTTTAAGCTCTATATCAGGCACTATTTGCCAGCCTAGGATTAGAATGTTGAACAAGAAAAGAGTGGTGGCTGCCCTCATAGACCCTATTTCCTTTCAGAAGTATGCATAAGTGAAGGAAGATACATGCATGATCCACTTTTGGTACAAAGCAAAAGGCATCTGGCTTTGCCTGTGCACAACTGGCTTACAAATGAGCAGAGCTGGTGGAGGTCTCAGGGTTGAAAAAACAAATATAAAGGCAAAATAAGAAGGGAGGCACAGAGAACTGAGTTTGTCAAAGGGAATATCTTTTCTTTAAAATACTTGGTACAATTTGGAATTTCATGGAAAGAGAGATTTAAAAAAACCAGATCATGTCACTTTAGAGGGGCTCCAATGCGTATGCCAGATGCATTAGTTTCCTATTACTGTTGTAACAAATCACCACAAATGTATTATCATACAGTTTTGCAGACCAAAAGTCTGCAATTGGTTCTACTGGGCCAAAATCAAGACAGTAGACAGTAGAGCTATGTTCTTTTCTGGGAGTCCTACAAGAGAATCTATTTTGCTGTCGTTTCCAGCTTTAGAGCTGCTCACATTTCTTGGCTTGTGGCCCTGCTGTTTTTATACTTCAAAGCCAGCAGTGGTGGAGTCTTTCCCACATTGCATCATTCAGACACTATAATACCTCAGTCTTCCACATTTTAAAGGATACTTACGATGACATCAACCTACCTGGAAACTCACACAACACGCAGTAAATCCTCAGTATAGAAACAAGTTCTGTTCCGAAAGAACATAAGTCAGATTCATTCATAAGTACAACAAGGTGAATCTTCCACAGTTTTGACATAAATACACAATATAAGGCATAAAGCCACACAAAAATACTGTAAATAAACTATTTTTATTTTTACAGTTACTTTATAATGGTGGTGCTGGCCAGTATAACAACTGGTATATAGGGGATTGCACGGAATGAACTGATGAAGAGGGTTACTAACTGGAGAAGGGAGTGGGGTGGTGATAGTGGGGCTCCCAGCTCATCAGGAGTAGCAGATAAAGGGCAAGATGCCCACACCTGATGTCAGAACTTAACTTCTGAGATTTGCTCACATCTATGAATGTTTATAATTTGAGGTCCATTAGTATGTGTGGAAGTTCATGTTGTTGTTGTTTTGTTTTTGTGTTTTTTAAGCAAGGTTGGGAGGGTGACCTCCCTCGGCTGACCTTGAATTCCTAGAGTCAAACAATCTCCCTGCCTCAGTTTCCTGAGTAGCTAGGACCACAGGTGCACACACTGTTGTACTTTGCTAGAATATATTTTGAAGTAGATAAGATTGTAACATAGCAAGAAAAAAATGTCTTACAAGGAAATGTATTGCCTTCATCCCATACACCAGTGGAGAATATGAACATTCAATGATTTTGACCTCCTTTTAAAAAGCTAAAGAATAAAACCACAAGATAGAGAGCAGAAGTTGTTGGGAGCCGCAGCCCCGAGCCCGGTCGCCTCACTTGGCGGACGTGAGGCCTGTAGTAAAGAGTGAGGCCTGAGGTAGATTACCCCTCCCATCGAATACGTTAGTTTCCTGCTTACCGCGTAAACAACCCGCTCAACAATATAGTCTGCCTAGCAACTGATGATGTTAGCCAATCAGCTTGCCTTGCTTACTTTAACATGATTGGACACTGTATCCGTATATATACCGGTGCCACCCCTGGGAGGAAGTAGAAGCCAGGTAGAAGCCCGGAAGTAGAAGCCCAGAAGGAGCTGCGGAGAGCGGACCGATAGAGGCTTCGGGGCAGACTGAAGCACAAGAGGAGCCGCGGAGAGCGGACCAAAGGAGGCTTCAGCTGGGAGAACCCAGGGCAGGCTGTACGGAGAAGGAAAATAAAAAGAAAAGGTTGTCCACTACCAGACTGTGTCGTGTGTCCTTCCTGCCGGCCGGGAGCGGACATCGACATTTGGAGGCCCGCCCGGGGACTGATCACCCCCGAGACGTGACAGTGGACAACGCTCCAGTACAGAGCTGCGAGACAGGTGAGTTGGGGATAAGCCTGGGCTCTGGGTGGCGCGCACCTACAGGGCTTTTAGACTCCCCTCAGGCTCACGCGTAAGTGGCGGATTCCTTGGGCCTCACGCGGTGAGTAACATATTAAAAAATGGGAAACATGTTAGGTAGCAACACTAAGAGCGAGGGTGGTTGTGGAGAAAGCTCTCAAGAGCTTACAAAAGTACACAGGGTATCTGAGCAGGCCCAGTCAGGGAGCTCCCGAGAGGGGTTTGTCAAGGGGAACAAGGATGCTAAGGAGGAGGACGGGGCTCTAGCCTCGGAGTCGTCTGACTCCGAGGACGAGGGAAAGTTGAATGGCAGGGAGGCCAAAGAGACCAGCTGTCAGGAGCCTAAATCGCTCAATAAGGAGTCGCAGGGTTCTTTTCCAGCGTTGCCCCGCGAATTGCGCTCTGCTCAACCTGGTCTGCGGAGGAGTAGAGAGCTCCTGAGCGCTCCCCGGCGCGAGAGGGAGGCAAAGCCTTCCGCCCCACCTCGGGGGCCGTTTCCGGAGGCGATCCCTCGCCGCGGGGCGGCCGCCCGGGAGCTCCCTTCCTCTTCGCCAGAACAGGAAGTGATGCACGGGCCCCCATTTTCCGCCCAATCACGGCCGCTGTCTTATGCTCCGCCGCCGGCAGGTCGGTATTTTTACAGGCGGCTTTGGCAGGGGGGACGCTTGTCTCATGAGGTACATCCACCTGGGATGGATAGTGACCCCTACGAGATATTTCCTGTACAAGTAGCTATGGGTCAGGGACGCAATGTACGGGAGCCTTTTGAGATAAAGCAGATTAGAGAACTTAAAAATGCAGTTACAACTTTTGGGCCGACTGCGCCTTACACCATTGCCATGCTGGAGAATCTGTCTTCTGGGCCCCTCACCCCCGCGGACTGGATTCAGCTGGCGGGGGCGTGTCTGCCCTCGGGCAGTTACCTGGATTGGCGAGCCTGGTATGCAGAGTTCTCTGCCGAGCAGGCTGAGAAAAACGCCAATCGAGGAAACCGGGGGTGGAACAAGAGAATGCTTGTGGGAGAGGGTCGGCGCGCTGATGGTCAGACTCGGTTCCCCGGCGCTCTCTGGCGGGGAGGAGATAGAGAGCCATCCGCTCCGCCCTGGAGCTCTTTTCTAAAAGCGGCTCCCCGCCGAGAGGCCGCCACAGGAAACCCTCCCTTCCCTCAGCCGGCACAGGAAGTGACGCCCCGTTTCACTCTGTCGCGACCGCAGTCTTATGACGTCGCGCCGCTGGGCAGACGGTATTTTCATGGGCGGCTACTCTGCCGAGCAGGCTGAGAAAAACGCCGGTCGAGGAAAAAGGGGCTGGAGGTTTAGCTCAGCGGCTTAAGCGCCTGCCTTGCAAGTGTGCAGTTGTTAGTTCGATCCCTGGTACCAATAAAAAAAAAAAAAAAAAAAAAAAAAAAAAAAAACGAAAAAGATAAAAATAAAAAATAAAAAACAAAAAGGGGGAGTAAACCCTCGAGGTTTGATCCCTGGTGATGTTTGGCAGATGGACATCACACATATACAGGAGTTTGGGACTCTTAAATATGTTCATGTTTCCACAGACACCTGTTCTCGCGTCATATTTGCAACAGCAGAAACAGGTGAAAAAATGTCTAATGTGATCAATCATTGCCTGGCGGCTTGGGCCGCATGGGGCAAACCAAAAATATTAAAAACTGATAATGGACCAGCCTATATAGGCAAAGCTTTCAATGAGTTCTGCAAAATGATGGAGGTTCAATTAAAACATGGTATCCCATACAATCCCCAAGGTCAAGAAATCATTGAGAGGGCTCATAGAAGCCTCAAAAAATTTTACAAAAACAAAAAGGGGGAGTAGGCCAAGGCCTGGCCCCAAAGGCACGATTATCCATGGCACTATTCACACACAATTTTTTAAATTTAAATAATGATAATCGCTCCCCAGCTGTGGAGCACTGCAACCCTTCCCCCAACCATAAAGGGTGGGTGAAGTGGAAAGATGTCCTGACAGGACAGTGGATGGGCCCGGATCCAGTGGTCAGCTGGAACCGAGGCGCGGTTTGTGTTTTCCCACAGGAACCGGGACGAGAACCACTGTGGATACCGGAGAGACTGACACGGGCAACAAAGCCCTCGACTGAAGATCAGACCTGCCCTACTGGAGATCCATCACAGACCAACCAACAAGATGAATAGAAATAGCGGTAGCCCGAAATGGACAAGAAGATCCTCAGGCATATGCATGGCTCGCTCGCCTAGCCTACGACCGAGTCTAGGGACGGTGAGCTTCCCACACTCCTCCTCTAAAAAATTATGATATAGCAGGGTAGATGAGTCAATGACGGGTAAGAGCGTGCCTCCCCAGCATGACTCGACCTAAGCCAGGCCCTACCCCATATCGCACGTAAGCCGCTGGACTGTTAGATGCTGCCCAGGTCTAAATTTCTCTCCGAGGGGATTTCTTTACGGAGAGAGAATGAGTGCAAGCTTGTGTGCATCCAGGTTCCGTCCAGTTTGTGCCTGGCCCTAGAAAAAGGACGAGGGCCTCAGGGCCTTGGCAGACCATGGGACGGCCGACCAGGGTCTAAGCCAAGGACCTACGGTGGGCCTACGCATAGGGCATAAGCCTCTGCACCCAGTCCAGGAAGGGCTACGATGCGCACATTCATAAAAAATAAAAAAGGGGGAGATGTTGGGAGCCGCAGCCCCGAGCCCGGTCGCCTCACTTGGCGGACGTGAGGCCTGTAGTAAAGAGTGAGGCCTGAGGTAGATTACCCCTCCCATCGAATACGTTAGTTTCCTGCTTACCGCGTAAACAACCCGCTCAACAATATAGTCTGCCTAGCAACTGATGATGTTAGCCAATCAGCTTGCCTTGCTTACTTTAACATGATTGGACACTGTATCCGTATATATACCGGTGCCACCCCTGGGAGGAAGTAGAAGCCAGGTAGAAGCCCGGAAGTAGAAGCCCAGAAGGAGCTGCGGAGAGCGGACCGATAGAGGCTTCGGGGCAGACTGAAGCACAAGAGGAGCCGCGGAGAGCGGACCAAAGGAGGCTTCAGCTGGGAGAACCCAGGGCAGGCTGTACGGAGAAGAAGAATAAAAAGAAAAGGTTGTCCACTACCAGACTGTGTCGTGTGTCCTTCCTGCCGGCCGGGAGCGGACATCGACAAGAAGTCACTGAAATGATAAAATAAATGTATAGTACAGAAAGTCAAAAAGCCATCAGATAGTTATTTGAGAAGAATAATAAAATAGATATAATACTGGCAAATACTAAGTGGGGAAAAGGAGAAAATACAAAAGACCAACATCTACAATGAAAAAGGATATTACAATAAGCATCCTCCACACACTAGAAATGTTGGGGGATATTATGAATGATTTTACAGCACTAAATTTGAAGTTTAGAGGAAACGACAAACTTCTTAAAAACATATGGCTAATAATATTTAAGCAATGCAAAATGCCAGCAAACATTTTGCATAATGGCAAATTACACAAAACCACTCTGCTCCAGCAGCATTTCTGTTCAATACTGCACTGATGGAATCAATGCTGAACTTTCGCCTGTTTTAGGATCTGGCAATTGCTTTCCCACCCTGTAGAAATGCTTGCCTATATACTGTAAAAAATGTACTAGAATGTGCCAGAAGTCCTAGTCAGTGCAGTAAACCAAGGAAAAGAAGAAAATGATAAGAATCCTGAGACCTTGGCGGGTTTTGTTTTTTTGTACTGGGGATCAAACTCACGTCCTCACGCTTGCCAGGCAGGCACTTGTGCCACTGAGCTAAATCCCCAGCCCAAGAATCCTGAGATCCTTCGTCCTGATATGTCAACCTCACTGGACTAGGAAACACCAGGCAGGTCAGTGAAGCTCACTCCTGGGGTATCTGCCTCGGTCATGGGGGTGTGGCTTTGGGTTCAGTAGGAGATCCCTCCTCAGTCCTCTCTTGCACTGCCGGGTGCTCTGCTTCCAGATCCTTCCCCGCATAACACTTCAGTCTTGAAGCCAGCAGATCACAGAATACAAACAGGAGCCAATTGAACCCTCCCTCCTTTAAGCTGCAAATGTCAGGTGTTGTGACTAGCAACAGGGACGCTGACTAATGAGATGAGAGGAAGAAGGATAAAGTGTGCTGTACACACAGATTGGAACACTATGCAGCCCTGAGAATGAATGATAGGTACACACAACTGCATAGATGAATCTTACAAATGCGATCGTGAATGAAAGAAGCCAGACATAAAGCTGTATATAGTATCGTTCTATCTTTATGGGGATCATTCAGCAGACAGTCTATGCTGTTAGAAGTCAAGATAATGGCTGGGTAAGGTGGTGCACACCTGTGACTCCAGCACTCGGGGAGGCTGAAGCAGGAGGGTGGTAAATTCCAGCCTCGCCTAGGCAACTGAGTGATTTAAAGAGCCCCTGTCTTAAAATAAAGAAGGCTGGGGGTGTAGCACACTGCAAAGGTCTTGGGTTCAATCCTCAGTACGTGTCAGAGAAGGACAAGAAGGTAATGACACTGGGTGGGGAGATGGGAGATGACTTTTCCTGGCGCGCTTAAGTTGTTTCTTGATATGGGGCTGTTTACGTGGGAAAAACAAAGGATGTGTGAAGTTTTATGTATGCTTACCAGACTTTTTAAAGAAGTTCTTGAAAGTTTACTTAAGCTCAGCACAGACTTTCGGAGGCTGGGGCTGCTGCGGGCGAGGAAACGCAGCCCTCCGGCCTCGCTGAGCAGAGGGCTTGGGGGACCGTGGCTTCAGAGAGCTTCCCAGAGGTCCTCAGTCTGGACCGCGCAGGCTCTTTAAAAAAGGAGAATCTGCGAAGACCTGAAACTTGTGTTCGAAATGCTTTGCACTGTTTGCGCGCCTTCGCCCCTGGTCCTCGCGAGTCTGTTTTTGAGACCTCCAGGCTCTGCTTGGCTGACGGGTTGCTCCAGGTCACCCCGGGGGAGGGGTGGGGCGCGGCACCGCCAGGCGAGCAGCCAGGGTCCACTCCCCGACCCGAGCAGGCGGGTCCACCCGGGGTGGCGGTCCAAGGGCTCAGAGAAGCCCGGGCGCGCCACCGAGAATGAAGCCGGCTTTGTGTGCGCTGCTGTGCGCTGGGGCTGTAGGTGAGTGCGCGCTGGGAGCCGGAGCCCTCTAGGGCTGGGTGCCGGCCGGCGGGGAGAAGGGAGTTACTCTGTAGTGGAACCCACTTGTCCCCTTTCTGTTGCGTGACTCTGGGCTATCCCTTGACCCCCTTCAACTGGTTTCAGTGGGTAAAAATTGTCTTTTCACAACCATCATACAGTCGTGAACCTGTGATAAAGTGCCTAGAGCCAAGGCGGAGCTCTAGGCGCAGTTGTGAAAAGCCTACGCAAGGGGGCTCCTTCCTGTGTTGGGAGGATGGGCTTCTCCGGGGTCGGGGGCAGGGATAACGGTGGGGAAGGTAGGGGTTCAGGGCAGTCAACTCCTGTATGTGCAGAGACCTCCCCTGCTCTGCACCCGTGGATCGCGTCAGCCCTAGTTCAGGTGGTCATGAGTAATTTGTAGGGTAGAGTATAGGACAAGGTATCTCTCTGGGGGCACAGGACAGAGGAAGGAATAGGCAGCAAGTGCAGCTAGTGGGGGCCTTCATGGCTTGGCACTGCCACCAGGGTCGCAAGGGGAGCCCTGCTGGGCCTGCAAAGGCTGGCAAGGTTGTGCACAGCTGTGGTGCAGCCAGAGTCACAAAGGAACTCAGTAGGAGCCCTTTGGGTCTTCTCCTGCATTCTCCTGAACAGGGCCTGTGTTATTTGTTCTTCCTTTGTCTCTCCTGGCGATGCCAGACCCTGACCAGAAGTTCAAACTGGCTCTATTTACAAACCAAAGACAAGAGATGCCCCTGTTGGCCACATTCCCTGTGTTCCCTTGATCATGGCTGCTGGATCAGGCTGGAATCTGGGCACACTTTCTTCAAAACATAGTGTTCTAGTTTAACAAATACTCTTCTGACTGCAGGTGCCCAAAAAAGCAACCACAGTAGCTTAAGTCAAAAATTACTGAAGAGAAAAGGAAAGGGACACTTGTTAGTAGGACCTGTGTGACCCAGAGCTCACGCTGAGCCCCAGACACTTCACACTGCCCCGCCCCTTCCCAGTCACTTTCCCTGGCTTCCCAATAGATAGCTTTTGCCTGTTCCAGGATTTCATACAAATAGAGCGGCACTGCACACAGGCCTTCATGTTTGGTTTTCCCTCAGCATTTGAAATTCATCCATCCCTTTTCACTGTGGAGAATTACTGCATTGTAGGATTTTGCCTCAGTTTACCATTCACTTCTTGATGGGCCACTGTGGTTACCTCCACTGGGAGGCCATTATGAGTAAAGCTGCCGTGAACATTAGCAGACAATTTCATTTCTTTCAGGTAAGTATCTAAATTATTGGGTCATACTGGCAAGTGCATGTTCAACATATTAAGAAATTGCCAAATGGAGGGCTGGAGGTATAGCTCAGTGGTAAAGGGCTTGCCTGATAGACACAAGGCCCTGGATTCAATCTTCAGAATTGGAAAAGGGGGCAATGTCAGGTTTTTTGAGCAGCTGCACCGTTTTATGTTCCCATGGCAATGGATGAGAAGTTCAGCTCGTCCTCATCCTTCTGACACTTGGTGATGTCCATCTTCTCACAGTGAGACTCTCCTTGTGGCTTCCATTTGTATTTCTCTGAGGACCAATGCTGTCGAGCGACGTTCATGTTCTTAGTGGCCATTTACACGTCTTTTCTTGTGAAGTATCTGTTTGAATTTTCTCCTCATTTAAAACAAAAGCACAGTTGTAACTGAAAATGCAGTCAGTTCTGATTCATAGCTTGCTCTTACTAAGGATTGCTACTATGGAAGACTTCCTCAAATAAATTTAAGAGCTCCACTTGTCCCTTCTTATCTTTGGCATGAGATTCTGGCTTAGCTTATTTGGCATCTCCTGTCTCATATTTTTTGATATTTCTCTCTTTTTTTTCATATTTCCTACTTACAGGCAGTTAAAAGGCAGAACAGAGTTTGAACTCAAACACAGCTGGGTAGTTCAAATATCAACTTCATCTTATTTCGTGTCCCTGACAATTTTTTAAATGTCATCTCTAAAACAGTAACAACAATTGTTAAATGGCAGGACAACTGTGGAAATTAGATGGCAATAAACTTGTACACTTCCAGGACCTTGCGAATGATCGCTGTTATCATTGTGACGTTGGTTTTCTAGATTTCATTTAAAGTAGTGTTTTGTCCAAATACTACATATTTGTAAATAGCATTTTTGCCTTTGTAATGCTCTTTATCACTGTTTAAAATACCAGTGAAGCAAATATGCAGAGATTTAATTGATTATGTTAATTTCTCATGTGGTACTCAGATCAAACCAAGGGTGCCCTGACTCTGAGTTACATTTATAATCCCTGATCTTTTTAATTTTTAAATTTAAATTTTTTTATTTTATGTAAAATATAAAACAAAATTTCATAATAAAATAATAGGAGGGTAACAATGGTTAATACAGTGCATATTTTTATCTTCAAAGTTATTACTCAGAGTACAAGATATGGGCATAAAAAGTCTCTAATTGATATTAGCATAAACTTTTTAATGAACTAAGAGAAACTAGTACTATAGCCAACTTGTAGTTTTCTCTTTCCATTCCTTCTTTTCCCCCGACTCCCACCCTCCTGGTTCCTCTTTCCTGTTGAACAGTTTCTTCCTAATTTGCAATATATTTTATACGTTTTGGACCTTATTTGTTCTCAGTTTCTCACTTTAGAGAGACAATACAGTGTTTACACATATAAGTCTGATATATTTCACTTACAAGTATGGTCTCAAATTGCAATTTAGCTAGAAATGTCTCAAGTTTATCCTTTTTTACGGCTGAGTAGTACTGTGCTGTATAAAAAGATCGCATTTTTTCCCCATTCCTCAGTTGATGGACATTTGGGCTATTTCCAAGATTAGCTATTATAAATTGTGCTATGATAATCATGGTTACACATATATCACTGTGAGATAATGTTCTTCCAAGAAAATAGCCAGAAGGGGAATATCTGGATCAAGTGGGATCTCTAATCCTAGATTGTTAAGGAATCTCCGCAATGTCTTGCACAGTGGTTGCACCAGTCTACACTCCCATCAACATAGGAAAAAATGTTCCTTTTTCTCAGCAGCCTCTACAGTATTTGTTGCTGGTTGATTTCTTGACAATAGCCATTCTTTCTGAATTTAGATGGAATCTCAGCATTTTTAAAATTTGCATTGCTTAAATGACAAATAATGTTGAACATTTTTCATATATTTATTTGCTGTTTGTATTTCTTCATCTGAAAAGTGCATATACATCTCAGATGCAATTTGTGGAGTCTGATATTTTCAGTTCTTTATATGTTCTAGATACAAGTCCTTTGTCTGAAGGAGAGTTGGCAAAAACTTTTACCCACTCTGTGCTTTATCTTTTCATTTTGTTAGTGATTTATTTTGCTGTGCAAAAGCTTTTTAATATGATGAGATCCCAGTTGTTGATTTTTTGTAGTATTTTACATGGGATCTGGGTTTTATTCATAAAGTCTCTGCCTATATCTATGTCATCCAGATTTCTTTTTGTTTCTTCTTCCAGAAGATTTAGTATTTCTGTTTTAATATTTAGATCTTTTATCTATTTTGATTTTAGTGCATATAGACGTGGGTCTAGATTTAGTCTTCAACATGTGGAAAGCCAGTTTTTCCAGCACCATTTATTAAAGAGGCTATCTTTCTTCCAGGGAACATGTTTGGCCCCTTTGTCAAAGATAGGATGACTGAGTATGTTTGGATGTCGATGTCGCTCCCGGCCGGCAGGAAAGACACACGACAAGGTCTGGCGGTGGTCAGGCTTTTCTTTATTCTCTCCTTATACAGTCTGCCCCGAAGCCTCTACCGGTCCGCTCTCCGCGGCTCCTTCCGTGCTTCAGTCTGCCCCGAAGCCTCTACCGGTCCGCTCCCCGCGGCTCCTTTTGTGCTTCAGTCTCTCTCCCGGGGGTGGAGGCACTGGCTATATATAGGATTAATAGCTAGGCAGACTACCCTGTGAGGCGGGAACTTAGTGGGGTGATAAGAAACAGGTGCCACACAGGCGGGCTCGATGAGAGGGGTAATCTAGCCCAGGCTTTTGTACTTTCCCACAGGCCTCGCAATCACCGCATCTGATGACTTGACAGTGCCACGGCTCCCAACATCTCCCCCTATTTTATTTTAAATGATGGCTACGCGCATCGCAGCCCGTCCTGGATAGAGTGCAGAGGCCTATGCCCCGAACTGAGGCCCACCGTAGGCCCTTAGCGTAGACCCTGGTCGGCCGTCCCAGGGTCCACCAAGGCCCTGAGGCCCTCGTCCTTTTTTCTAGGGCCAGGAATGAACCGGACGGAACCTGGTTGCACATAGGCATGCACTCATTTCTCTCCACGAATCCCCTCGGAGAGAAATTTATCTAACAATCCAGCGGCTTTCGAGCGGAACGGGGTAGGGCCTGGCTTAGGTTGAGTCGTGCTGGGGAGGCACGCTCTTACCCGTCATTGACTCACCCACCCTGCTACATGTTGTTGTCTAGGGAGGAGAATGTGGGAAGCCTGTCACTTTTAAACGCGGTCGTAGGCCATGCGAGCGAGCCATGCGTATACAAGGGTAGCACATAGGGGAGCAAGCCGTTCCAGGCCCCCAAAAAGGGATTGTCCTGCAGTTCTTTTAGGGCTCATCTTGTTGTTGGGTCTGCGGTTGGCCTCTGGTGGAACAGGCCTGATCTTCAGTCGAGGGACTTGTCGCGTCAACCTCTCTGGGACCCACATTGGTTCTCGTCCCGATTCCTGCGGAAAGACACAAACCGCGCCTCGGCTTCCTCTTTTGTATCTCTGCCCTCCTTGACGGACCCTTCTCGGGAGCTTCCTCACTGTGCCTGTTCAAACACCTCGCGTACTTCTACAAGTTCTTGAGAGCTCCCCCCGTAACTACCCTCACTCTTTAGGCACGTGTGTATCATTTCCCACAATGGACGAGCAGAGACTGAAGCTCTACCCTCCCGCTCTGCTAGGGAAAGGTCTCTGCCCAACTTTTCCCAGGAGGGCAGGTTTACATGCCCTGTAGGCAGAAACCAGGGAGCAAAGCTGTCAATCTCTGCAAGGAAATTTTCTAAAGTCTTACGCCCCACCTTGAGGTCCTTGGACTTTAGGAGTCTCCGAAGGACCAACACCAAGGCTGTGTATCTTTACTTGGCATGTTTCCCATTTTTAATATATCTTCTGTTATTTTTACTTCTATGTTTATGTTTTACACTCTTTTATTACCTTAAGTTCTGGTGTTATGTTTCATACTCACCGCGTGAGGCCCAAGAAACCCGCCACTTACGCGTGAGGTTGAGAGGAGTCTACAAACCCTGTAGGTGCGCGCCACCCAGGGCCCAGGCTTATCCTCTACTCACCTGTCCTGCAGCTGCAGCACTGTGTAGGAGAATGCAGTCCACCGCCGCGTCTCGGGGTTGATCAATCCCCGTGCGGGCCTCCAAATGTCGATGTCGCTCCCGGCCGGCAGGAAAGACACACGACAAGGTCTGGCGGTGGTCAGGCTTTTCTTTATTCTCTCCTTATACAGTCTGCCCCGAAGCCTCTACCGGTCCGCTCTCCGCGGCTCCTTCCGTGCTTCAGTCTGCCCCGAAGCCTCTACCGGTCCGCTCCCCGCGGCTCCTTTTGTGCTTCAGTCTCTCTCCCGGGGGTGGAGGCACTGGCTATATATAGGATTAATAGCTAGGCAGACTACCCTGTGAGGCGGGAACTTAGTGGGGTGATAAGAAACAGGTGCCACACAGGCGGGCTCGATGAGAGGGGTAATCTAGCCCAGGCTTTTGTACTTTCCCACAGGCCTCGCAATCACCGCATCTGATGACTTGACAGTGCCACGGCTCCCAACATTTGGAGTTATGTCTGTATCTTCTAATGTGTTCCACTGATCTTCAGGTCTATGGTGGTTTTTGTTTGTTTGTGTTTTTTTGCCACTGTCATGCTGTTTTTATGACAGTAGCTCTGTAGTATAATTTCAAGTCAGGGATTGTAATTAATCCTGCTTTGCCTTTGTTGCCCAGAATTGTTTTGGCTATTCTAGGACACTTCTGGTTCCAAATGAATTTTAGGAGTGTTTTCTTTAGCTCTGTGAGGTATGCTAATGGTATTTTGATTGAGATTGCATTAGCTGTTTAACAATTTTGGGAGTATGGCCATTTTCACTATATTGGTTGTTCATATCAATGATCAAGGGATATCTTTCCATTATCTGATATTCTCTTCAATCTCTTTTTTCAGAGTACTACAATTTTTAATGTAGACTTTTTACTTCCTTTGTTAGATTGATTACCAAATATTTCATTTGTCTGGATGTTTTTGCAAAGGGAATGTCTTCCCTAATTTCTTTCTTAGTGAGTTTGTGGTTTGTGTATAGCAATTTTATTCATTTTTAAGTGTTGACTTTGTATCCATCTACACTACTGAATTTGGTTATTAAATCTAGAACTCTTTTGTGGAGTTTTTAGGTCTTCTATGTATAGCATCATGTCATTCATAAATAATGATAGTTTGACTTCTTCTCCTATCCTTATGCCTTTATTTCTTTCTCTTGTCTAATTGCTCTGGCTAGTATTTCCAGAACTATATTGAATAAGAATGGTGACAGTGGGCATCCTTGTCTTACTCCTCATTTTAGAGTGAAAACTTTCAGGTTTTGACCATTTAGTGTGATGTTGGCTGTTGGTTTGTTGTAGGTGGCTTATATCTCAGATTGAGATAAAGGCCATCTATTCCATTTGTTTGTATGGTTTTTATTGAAGAATGAGTGCTAGACTTTGTCAAAAGCTTTTCTGCATCTGTTTAGATGACCATGTGATGTTTGTCTTGGGGTCTGTTAATATGATGTATTATATTTCTTGATTTGCATCTGTTAAGCCATCCTGCATCCCTAGGATGAATCTTACTTGGTCATGGTGTGTAATCTTGATGATTTGCTGTATTCTCTAAGAATTTCTCCATCTATGTTCATTAGGGAGATTGGCTTATAGTATTTTTGTTTTATTTTATTTTGTTTGGTTTGGTTTTGTTGTTTGTGCTTGAGTCCTTCTCTGGTTTTGGTACCAGAGTAATATTTCCTTCAGGAATGATTCTGAATGTATTTCTTCCCTTTGAATTTCACTAAAGACTTTCAACATTAGTGGCATTAGTTCTCTAAATTTCTTGTAGAATTCAGCAATGAACACATCCCGATCTGGGCTCTTCTGTGTTGGTAAATTTTAAATTACATTTTCAATTTTATTCACTGTTTCAGTTATTTAGAAATTTTCTGTCTTCTCAATTCAGTTTTGGCAATTCATATGTGTCTAGGAATCTGTCCATTCCTTCTGAGTTTTCCATCTTCTGAGAGCACAGGTTCTCAAAGAAGGTATTTGGGATCTTCTGGATTTCTGCAAGATCTGTTGTGATTTTCCCCTTCTCATGACTTCAATTTGAGTCTTTTCTTTCCTCTTTTTAATGAGGTTGGCTAGGGATTTATTAATTTTATTTAATCTTTCAAAGAACCAACTCTTTGATTCATTGATCCGTTGTATTCCAATATTGGGGGTGGACCACTCTGTAGACATAAACTAAGTTCATTTGTTCACCCCACAACATCAGATATTTCTTTTTTTATTTTTTGTCTAGTTATCTGTCTATTTGTGAGATTGGGGTATTAAACTACCTATAATTGTTTTTGTGGTTATTTGACTTTTCATGTCTGTTAATATTTTGTTTTATGTAGTTGCTGGCATGAGTATTTGGGATATATATATATATATATATATATATGATTATTTCCTCTTCTTGGGATTTTCCCTTAACAAGTGTGTAGTGACCTTTGTCTCTTTTGATCAGTCTTGGCTTAGAATAGCTACCCCTGATTTTTTTCTGGGTTTCTGTGGAATGGAGGTTCCCCCCCCCTCCATATTTTGACTTTCAGTTTATGAATTTCTTTTCAAGTTAAATGTGTTTGCCAAATGCAGTGTATTGTTGGAGCTTGCTTTTTTTTTTTTTTTTTTTTTTTGTCTTTTTCCTTTTTATTGGTACTGGGGATCGAACTCATGACTGCCTGCTTGCAAGGCAGGCGCTTATACTGCTGAGCTAAATCCCCAGCCCCTAGGAGCTTGCTTCTTGGTTCATTGTGACACTCTCTTTTGATTGGTAAGTAGAGACCATTTACATTGATGGTTATAACTGATATGGGTTGGCTTATCTTTTTCCTGTTGTTTTCCTGATGTTGGTTCCCTGTCTTTCCCCTCTGTTTAATTGCTTGCCCTGCCTGGTGACTTCTTTCTGTTTGTGTTCTTGTGCTTGTGGTCCTTATTTTCTTTTTCTAATTATATGCTTTAGAGCATCCTCACAGCTGGTTTGGTGGTCATGAATTTCAATAGTTATTCTTTGCCATAGAAATATCTCCATTGATTTTGAAATATAGTTTTGTGGGGGTACATTATTCTGGTTGGAAGTTGTTCTCTTTTAGGGCTTGAAATACCTTAGCTAAGCTTTCTTTGATATGAGGGTGTTTTTTGTTGTTGGTGAGAAGTCTGCTGTGATTCTGATGGGTTTTTCTTTAGGTGATTTATTTTTTTCTCAGCTGCTTTCAATATTCTGTTCTTGTGGTGAATTTCTGGACTCTTGATTATTATATGCCTTAGTGTAGATGTATTTTGGTCATGGTTATTTGGAATTCTATATGCTTCATTTACTTGTATGTTAAATTCTTTATCCTTGGTTGGTAATTTGTCTGCTGTTATTTATATGAAGAGGTTTTTTTTTTGTTTGTTTGTTTGTTTTTTTTTTTTTTTTGCTTTTTGGCTTTTGTGCTGTCTTCCAGCTTTCTCACTGATTCCAATCAATCTTATTTTGTTCTTCTTCACTTCATCTTGTAACTCTTGGTTTAATTTTTCATGGTCTCTCGCTATTTTTAAGATTTTTTTTTTCATGCTCACTAGCTACAATCCTATGTTGTAGATCTGATATGATACCCTTGCCTTCATTCAATCTGTTGCATATATTTGCAATGGAGTTTTAATCTCCTGGATTTCTGTTTGGATCTGTTCCATAGATTCCGTTTCTTTCCTGTGCACAGCATTCATGATTTCCATCATTTTTGCTGAGCTCTATTTTATATCCGTGTCTGTTTTAAAGTCTTTCATTCTGATCATTGTTTCATTTCGCACTTTAGAGATTATTTTTTCTATAGCTTCTTCTACTTGTTTTTTTAATTCTACTGCTAATATTTCAGAAAGTTCCAGTGATTGTTTCCAATTTCCTCTATTTCACTGTGCCCTGGACTTGTCCTACATTGGCTGGGGCCTGGGTTTGCATTTTGTTTCTGCATCTTATCATTTTTCCATTTTTTATTTTATTTTATTTTTGAGTCCATGTTTGTAGATTTCTTACAGCAGCTGGCTTTATCCCTAGTACCAAGGCTTTCCTAGGAAATGTCTGTTATCAGGGATATCTTCTAGAAGTAGGTAGTTCTTGGTCTCCCTTAGTGATGGTTATGACCCTAGACAAATCACAGTTTTGTCACATAGGCAAGAAAAATTGTAACAGTTTTATAACTGCTATCATAACTATTGGCCAAAGTAGTTCACTTAACAATAACAATAGACTCAAGTTCTGCCTGGCTACTGAAAAACTGTGGCAACTATTAACCTGAGACCTTTAACCCTAGGAGCAAATTCTACAATTATACAACAGAATCCAACATAAACCAGGAACTTGCTTGTAATGATTTTTCCCTTTAGTGAAGTGATGTTATCCTGTTGTTGGAAGGGGACAGAATTAAGAGGGATAGGGGACAAAATAGGATATGAGTGAGGTCATATAGAGTAGGAGCATGGCTGGAGGGCAAAATATGATCATCTGGTTTTTTGGAAACTGGAGAACAGAGGATGGAAAGAATGAAGAGAAAGCAAAGAGGTATTAAAGTGAACCAGAAAGAGAAGAGACAATGTTTATGCCTATGAAGGTGAATAGAAGAAAACAAGAAGAAAGGTAAAAAAATCTAAATAATGAAAAAGGAATAAAAGAGAAAAACAAAACGAAAAACTGCACAGAAAACAAAACAAGACAAAAGCAATCAAATAAAAAATCAACTGGGCATAAAAAGGAAAACCTATCAACCAACCAGAGGAAAATAGAAATAGTAAGGTTCTTCTGGTGTCTACAGTTCTGTGGAAGGTCCAAGCCAGATTCCAGAACAGTGTTGTGTGCTCCAGTCAAGTTCACAGTGGGATCTGTGCAGGGTATGGGGCTAATCTTTGCCTCTGGATGTGGGACTGGGACTGGCTTTCTGTTGCTGGAGTTCTCCGCAAATCTTTTGACATAAAACAGCAGCCCTATCCACCTCCTTCTATTCCTAGTATCTGTGTACTGAAGCACAATGCTGGTTCACCTAACTTATCAACTGCTGGCTCTCATTATCACTGCTGCTTTAGACTTTTTCACTACACTGGCCCTGCCTACAGGACATCTGTGCCTATGCGCGGGCCTGCTGGGTCACTGGGTCCACCTGGTCCAGCATGTATGGTCCCACTGGGGCTTACTGCCCCTTTTTCATTTTTGAGACTGGGTCTCACTCAGTTGTCCAAGCAGAACTCATAGTTCTCCCCTCAGCTTCTCAAGTGGCGGAATAACAGGTGTGTGCTACCATGCCCTTGGTAAAGGCAATGATTTTAATTTCCCAGTGATTGGTACCAAGGATAGATTGACCAAAATTAAGATAAAGACTATGTTGCTAGACCCAAAGCTTTCTACCCAGGGGTAGATATTTTTGAGATGCGATTCACATAACATAAATTAACCATTTTAAAGTGAATAGTTCTGAAGTATTTAATGCATTCACAATATTGTACAACCATCTGTTGTAACCCCCCCCCCCAAAAAAAGGCCCCAAGATGAAAAACAGGGCAAGATGATGTCTTTTTTAAAAGAAGTGCTTTTATGTTAGCTGGCCCAGTGATACAACGCAGATGGAATTTGCAAAGCTGTGCGACTGAGTTAGAATTTTGACTGATTTTTATAGTTCATTTGTGATTAGCTCATTGATCATTAAGTACATAGCAATGAGAAACAGAAACAAGGTGGGCCGTTGTTCCCCTTTGCTTGAGGTCAGAGGCATTTCACAGTGGGTGGTAGCCAGTTCATAGCTCTTGGTTTGCCAATTCCAGGAACATTTGTCTCTCATAAAGGGAACAATGGTTGACACAGCATCATTTGTCTCTTACAAAGGGAACAAAGCTTGACACAGCAAACAGGTTACTGGGGTGGGGGGGACGACACATACAGAACAGCATGATGACGTGGTCAGTTAATCTGTAACTATGTGGTTGGTGCTTGGTTACTAGGGTAAGGAGCTCAGCACAGAATGACAGTACTGCTAATAACTAACTTAATTAACTATTTTAATTTTTTAGCATCTTAGTATAACACCATCACCTCTATCCAGTTCCAAAACATTTTCATCAACCCGAAGGAAAATCCTGTACCCATTAAGCATTGCCCCTTTCTCTCTCAGCACAAGGCAGTCACCAATTTAGAGTCTTCAATAATTTCAGATCTATTCTGGGAGTGAAACTGATTTCTAATGATGCTAATTCTGTTTAATTTTTTTGTCCAGAGGGTAGGGGAGAATTAGAAAAAGAGGCCATGAGAATTCATATGAGTCAGCCAGCCAGTCTAGTATGGGCATACTCACTCGGTTGGCCCTTTATCCTGTCTTTGACCTTTTTTATCAGCAGAGAAAAGTGAGTGTTGTGGTTCCTTTACATCTCTGGCTCTCTTCTAGGGCTGTGTCTGGCAGTCCCCGAAAAGACTGTAAGATGGTGTACTGTGTCAGATCACGAGGCCACCAAGTGTTCCAGATTTAGTGACAATGTGAAAAAAGTCTTTCCAGCAGACGGGCCCCTTGTCACTTGCATGAAGACAACCTCCTACCTTGAGTGCTTCAAGGCCATTGCGGTAAGTCACTGTTGCCCTCTGTGTTTACTACTGCAGAGAAAAATACACCTGCTCAACTTCCATTGATAGGAAAAATCATAGTCATAGTCATAACCATACAGTTCATAGCTAAGGACTCAATCTTAGTGAGATATCTATAGTAAAGTAAAACTAGTGTTGCATTAAAAAGAATCTATAAAGACCCACAAATAGGACATTAGGTGTAACTCAGTGGTAGAATTCTTGCATAGTAGGCAGTAAGTGGTAGTTGTTTTGATATTAACTGAAAAGTCACACTTTCAAAAAGGCCTTATCTTTGTATTCTCCACAGGGGCACATGGCCTGTAGAGTTGCATTCTCTAACTTGCCTGGTTATTCCAGCAGTGAAAAAGAAAAAAAAAGAAAGAAAAGACTGAGAAATAGACAAGAAGCTCTGTTTTTACTATTATTACTTACCATTGTTTTTGAAATTTCCCAGTGATGCAATAAGACATAAAATACATGTAAGATAGAATCCATCAAACATATCAAACAATAATATATGATTGCTTCAGAAAGCACAGTGGAATTGAAAAAATGCTGCTGTAATCATTTATTAATGAAAAAATTAGCTTGGTAAAAAATAAATATATTACAAGTCATATCATTTTTGTATAACAACAGACATAATTGGGGAGGATAGCCCCAAATTGTGATTTCACTTATGTTTGAAATAATAAACAAAAATATTTCTAAAAAATACCAAATGGGAGATTTATAAAACTGTTAGTATAAAAGTCTATAATAACTTAACAACCTTATTTATTTCATTTTATTTACTTTTTTGAGACACAGTGTTGTTATGCATTTCAGGCTGGCTTTGAGCTCGCTTTGAAACCCAGGCTGGTTTTGAACTTGTAACAATTCTCCTACCTTAGCCTCCCAAGCGCGGGATTACAGGCATATGCCACCATGCACGCTTAACAACATTTATTAATAAATGAGCCATGCATCACATTCCCAGGTTGGAAGACTAAATGTATACTTTTATATTTTCCTAAAGTTGTTCAATATATTTATCATGATTTTCATCAAAATAAACTACTTTCAAAAGAATTCTTAAGGAAGAAAATATGGATAGGATTATAAGATAGTGTGAGAAAGAACACTAACTGAATAGTCAAGGTTTTCCTAAGGAGATACCATACATAAATAAAAGTGTTAGCAAAGAACAAGTTACTGACATGGATGTTGAATACTTGGAGGAGAACAAAAGCAATGTATGCTCAGCTTTTTGCATGTCTAATCATCTAATGATATACATAATATTATACATATGCAAAGTACAGTAAATGGTGAACACTAGGGCATTAGGGTTGTAGACTTTATAAGCTTAGACTAGATGTATGTAGATTTAGCTAGAATTTATGATAAAGCAAACTTTCGCAAAATGATTGAGCAAGGATTCTTTAATTGGACAACTGGCTAGACATTGGGGTTAGAAATCTTAATCCATTTTCACACACACACACACACACACACACATCCCTTCTAGCTTGATTCGACTTGATGTAAAGAGTGTTCTGGTTTATATCTAGCTGTCTTCCCAAACCTCATGCATTCGTAAGTGAGGCTTTGATGAGGTGATTGGATCTTGGGTGTTATACTCATTAAGGGTGTTGTACTGATGGGTTTATATCTATATGTGGTATCAGGAAGTAAAACCTGGTCAGAAGAGGTGGGTCACTGGGAGTGTGGCCTAGAAGGGTTTATCTCCTGCTCTCCTCTGTTGATTGCTCTCTACTTCCTGTCTACCATGTCATGAGGGTATTTTCCTCTCCAATGTCTTCATACTTTGGAATTAGCTGACTATGGACTGAAACTTCTACAAACTGTGAGCTAAAATAAACCTTCCCTCCTTAGAGTTGTGGGTGTCAAGTATTGTGTCTCAGTGACAAAATGTAACTAAGACAAAGATACATAACTAGGGAAATCAAAAAAGTAAGCAAATTTGGAAATGTAAACATTTTAAAACTATGATAAATTTTTTAAAAATAAATCACATCAGCTGTAACAAAATCACTTACTGCACTGTAAAAACTATATAAATATATAACTTAAATTTATAAGAAGTGCTTAAGAATAACAAGCTATAACCAAACCACTCACAGAAAAAAAAACATTGCAGCTAATAAACAATATAGACATTACAGGAAAAATGTTCATCCTTTTTAATAACCAAATAAATTAAAATAAACCCCTTCTGCAGTAAGTTCATATCTAGTAATGTGATGACATCTCTTTCTTTCTTAAAGTTAATTTCATTGATACTTTTTAGATGTACATAGCGATTACATTCATCATAGAGAATTTGTGTCTATACATAATATATTTTGATTCTTCTTTTTTGCCCAATCTTTTCTCCTCCCTTCAACCCCTCTTCCTATCTTATCTACAAAAATTTTGTTTCCATTTTTCCTTCTATTCTTTTTTCTTTTCTCTTCCTTCATTTCCCCTTTCCCTGTCCATGTTTTCCTTCCCATTTGAACAATTTTTTCCTGTTTCATAATATGTGTTATACCTTGTGGTCCTTGTTTATGCTTTTGGTTTCTCGCACCAGAGAAACAATGCAGTATGTATGCATGGGTGTCTAATTTATTTCACTTAGGAGTATGTTTTCAAGGTACATCCATTTACCTAGAAATGTCTCAAGTTTATCCTTTATGGCAGAGTAATGCTTCATTATTGATAACGTTTTTCACTGGTAGGTTTGCAGTGAAACTGGTATGCATTGCTATTAGCATTATAAATCATAAACTTGTATTAGGGTTATAATTTGTTTATTTCTGAACAGAATTTGGAAATATTCATTGTCACGAAGATGTTCATAAGTTTTTATTCTTAAATTCACATATATATGTGTATATTTACATGTGCGTGCATGTGTGTGTGTGTGAAGAGAAAGGCAGAGACAGACATGCATTTGGTACAGACATTTGACCTTATGCAATCACGGGAGCTGGTTGAGAAGCCTCTGTAAGGTTGTTGTCTTTTTGCCTCTGATTCAAGTTTCATTTTGCCTCTGATTTTGGAACGTGTCTGTAAGAAAAGGAAGGAAGATGTCTGTAAAATAGGGAGAAGTAAGAGCAACTTGGAACCCACGAGGATAGAATGAAACATGTGTGGGTTCCCACTGCTCTGCTTCTTGATGGGGTTCACAAGGCTTAGTGCCTTCTTGTTCTTTTAACTTTTATACTAATCCAACCTTTATCAGTTCAGGTTGGTTTCTGATATATTCAATAGTGTTCTAATTTTACACACACACACACACAAACATATGTAAAATGTATATGAAACAAAATGGGTTTGGAATATATAATTGTAATATACATTGGTATATTTTGATACCTGTATTTTGTAAAATATGTATAAGAAAATGCATATAGCATACATATCATAAAATATAAGAAAAGGAAGTAAATATATATAACACTTTTGTCCCTCTGTGTTGATGGCTTCTGTATTTGCACATTCAAGCCTCAGCAAATGTAAAAAAAAAATTTTTACCTTTTCTGAATACATAGACTTCATTCTTGCCACTAATTATATACATATTTTTTAAAATTTTATTTAAAGAGAAAAAAGAAAAAAAACAGAAAAAGGGTACAAGTTATACAGAATTTCAGAAAAAATAAACAGTAGGAAATCACTAGTTAATTGCATATTGTCATCTTAGAAATAGTTGTTGAAGTTACAAAATTAAAGCATATAGAGGGGACTTTCAAACAGTGAGACTGCAAACAGTTTTGTTCAATAATCCAACAAAACACAGTAATATGATTATCTATCTTATACACTTAAATATATATGCAGTTATATCTTTTAGAGAACTTTCTTTTCCTTTCTTTTGTACAATGACGATTACACATTTTGGGTTTTATTACTCCCACAGTTCTTATTACTTTTTTTTGAAGAAAGTAAAACCAAATGTGACATACCAGGACAGAGTCAGTGAAATCAAAAGGATGGACATAATACATAATGTAAAAACAAAATAGAAGATGATCAACAATGGTTACCATAATGCCTCGTTATCTTAAAAAGAATTGCCTATGTCATCAGTTATAATAAAATTGAACAAAACAGTAAAGAATAAGACCAATAAAACGAAAACATTGGAGACATTAGAGGACTTCAAAAGAAGATAATAGTCAACCAGAATGGGCATCGCAATGGATCTTATTGGCTTCATAGTTGTTGCCTAGACTTTCAAACTTGGTACTGTCTAGCATAACAGAATAGAGGAAAATCAGTCAAAACAAGATGGTGAGAGCAATACAGAATTTCAAATCAAGTTACTAGGAAATCAAAGTGGATTACTATAACATATCCTGCTATTTTTTAATTTATTTTTCCCTTAATTAAAAGGATAAAAATGAAAAAGTAGATAATAAAAAAGAGATGAGATAAAAAAAGAGGGCATAACAACATAGCAGTGCAGGTCAAAACATAGCCATTTCAGCAAAATAGTGTTTCACCACAAGGTAATCTTGACATAATAGTAGTTACCATAGTATCTCTTCCATTAAAATCTTTGGGTATAACTTCGTATACTGTAGCATCAAACATATCAAGACAATGTAAAACCATTCAAGAGAATGACAGTATTACAGGGTATTTAGAATCAACTAACAGAAAATAAACAATGGTTTCTGTATAATCTCCTTGTCTATAAAAGTTTTTGTTTATATTATCACATATAATAAAATCCAATAAGATACAACACGTTAAAACCGATGGAGACAGAAGAACAAAAGCTTGATGGGACTTCAAAACAAGAAGATATTAAATCAGCACTACCTATTATGATGTCTTGTTTTCTCCAAAATAGCTGTTCCTACCATCCAACCTTCTCTGCCTCATTTCTGTTGACCTTTTTTTCTGTCACTAGTTGTCAGTTTGTCCTCTTCATTTCGCTTTCTGCTCCATTCATTGTGGCCTCTCTGCCACTGTTTGGTATTTTTCATTTTTAGAATATCCTG